AGAGAGAGAGAGAGAGAGAGAGAGAGAGAGAGAGAGAGAGAGAGAGAGAGAGAGAGAGAGAGAGAGAGAGAGAGAGAGAGACGCTTCAAGACTCTAAGAATGTGAGGTGTAAGACTCTAAAAGTCTCTAAGGCTGGAAGACAGCAATACTTTTTTCAACCAGAGGCCCGCACTACTTTCTTCCCCCGAATACAACGTATACAGTCACTATAGCTGTATTTGAGGCATCTTCCAGTCTAAATACCGTGATACTGGCCGTACATTGTATTCGGGGGAAGAAGGTAGACTTGACAACAAGATTTGTGCATTTGTGCATGTGCGGACAACCGAGTTTAACCAACCAACCAACCAACCAACGCGGTTCTTCCCGTAGCCCACCTGAAACACTAAATTGCGCTCTGGGTCCCCATAATAGCCGCATCTTGAAATGGAAGCACAATGCACATCCAGTTCATACCCGACAGCAGGAGCAGGTTTAGACAACCAAGTTCTTTTAAAGTTTAAGCCACCACTACCCCCCGCCGTCCTAAATTCGGGGGGACCCGCCTGCGCCTGCCAGTCACCGGCCCCCCAGTAAAACCCAGTTCGTATGGCCAGGAAAGCCGAATTTCAGAGGTCAGGGGTAGTGGTGGCTTAGCACGAGCCTACCGTCTTCACCCGAATAGAACGCCCGGTCATTATAGCTGTATTCAGGGCAACTTTCTGTCCAGGTGCAGCTATAATGACCGGGCGTTCTATTCGGGTGAAGACGGTAGTGGCAATGCAAAGCACCCACCGGCACCTGGGAATATATACCTTGGCACAGCCAGACCCGAGGGTCCCAGGAGGTTCGACAGAGTCTCTCATGAGCAGTTGGGGGGCAGGTCAGGGAAATGACACCAAAGTGAAACTGAAATGAATTCGAAAAAATCACGCAGAACCGAGACACAAAGAGGAATAGAATGAAAAATGAAGCTATGAAGAAAGACACAATTTGCTCCCAAAACAAAAAAAACTCGCTTTGATCCAAATGCAATTACGGATACTCGCCTTGCTCTCAAATCCAAATCGGTTGAATTAGCGCCAAATCTCGACAGCAGCAGCTCTCAATTCCAGTCTACAAGTGTTGTGCACACACACAGCAGCAGCAGCAGCAGCAGCAGCACCCACTGCCAGCTAGATGGATCTGGGAAAAAGACGAGCAACAATGGTAAAAACAGTAATCACAGTGACCACAGTGCACGATGTGTCACACAGGAACCCACAGTAACTACACTGCTAACCACTATTCCGTCTTCTGCCGAATAGAACGCACCGTCATTATCTCTACAATAGTCGGTATCCAGACTGAAAGTGGCCACAAATACAGCTATTATGACCGTTCTCTTTGGGGGAACATATTAGTACGCACAGTAGTAACCCCTGTGGCAACCACGGTAGTAACCACGGTAAAAACCACAGCAGTAACTGAAGTGGAAAGCCAAAGACGTAACCATGGTAGGAATCAAAGCGATAACCACAGTAGAAACCACAATAGTAACCATGGTAGAAGCCACTGTAGTAGCCACCATAGTAGCCATGGCTGTGACCATGGTAGCAACCATGGTAGTAAACAGGGAGGCCACCATAGTAACCACCGTCACAGCCACCGTAATGACCACACTACGGTGGCCGCATCTCAGTAAGCACAGTGAGCACAGTAATAACCACAGTAACAACTGTGCGCACAGTAAAAAGCACAGAAACCACCGTGGAAATTTCACAAATATAGCAAACGTCCGAACAATAGTAAGCACACAAGTTTGCAGCAGTCATCGGTGACTTACGTACCGGTAGTTCCGGATTCTGAGGAACGATGGGATACCACAAGTACATGGGTGGTGGCGACACTGTTGTTTGAAAGACTGCCATGCAGCAGGAGCCTTCCATTCGCAAGCTTCACAGCCCTCTCCCTCCCCCCCTTCCCTTGCGTAACTTTGCTCGTCAAACCATCCGCCGACACAGAGATGGCCTTCCATCCGCTGCCGTCGTTTCACAGGCTAACTACCTTCTCCTCTTCGCTTGCCCAACGAAACGATTGCCAGAGATCGCGACGGCCTTCCATCTCCCAACGCCCTCCCCTTCCCCTTGCATAACTTCGCTTGCCAAACCAATCTGCAGACACAGAGATGCCCATCACGATGGCCTTCCATCTCCCGGCTTCAGAACCCAAACTCCTCCTCTTGTGTAGCACAGTTCCTTCAACACCTTCTGATATACAATGTTCGGTACATCACCTTTCAATGCTATCTTTGCAGCTTCAATCAAGTCCACCTTCCTCAGACCTGCAGATGCGCCTTTCTTCGTTCGCAAGAGGGCGACCACCACCTCCCTGAAGGGATCAAGTGTCGGGTTTCCGAGGGATTGCAGGAAGTAGACTCCATCGATGCACGTCGCCACTTTGCAAATTGCAGCTGAGAGCTCAGCAGTAGGCGCGGATGCTGCTTTTGCTGCGGCGAGTGCGGTTGCTGCCACTGCGGGATTCACCTTTGGAGCCGACGAGATGGAAACCGCTCTCTCCCGCAGACACTGACATATGAACTGCAGATTGCAGACATTGTGTTTGAGAAAGATCTCCCTCAGTGCGCCCGGAAGCGCAGCCTTCGTCTCCTCAGACATCGTTCCGGGCATCTCCAGTGGTGCCTTTCCTCTCCCCGCAGCTGGACCCTGCAGCAAGCCCCCCCCTTTAACGCCACCACCCATGGACAGTCTCGTATCTGCACCTGATGCGGCCCTTGCCCCCCCTCTTGTACCCACAACCCCCTTCAGCGCCTCGCTTTCGCTTGCTATCTTCGCACACCTTGCCATTACCTCATCCCATACTCTCGTCTCCACCTCCTCGCCTATAGGCGCTGGATTGCCCAGCTCTTGTGTGGTGGTGATGCTGATCGATAACGCAGCTTTAGTTATGTCCGCTTCCGAGATCTCCCACAGGCCCGCCTGCTCCTTGACAATGACCCCATGCTTCTTTATGAAGTGCTTGTCGGTGTCCTCCTGGAACCCCCACCCCATCCCTGGTCCCCTTTGCATGGCAAGGTGGGAAAGAATCTCTCTCAGTATCTCTTTCGAAACATTTAGCGGCTCCAACATATCCCGCGTCACAACGCGATTCTTTGTGAAAAGGAGTAGGATGTAATCGCGAATAGTTGCGACAACGCGATTGTATCGCAAGTAGCTGGCCGCAACCCAGCACCCCTGCACAAGCATCGCCTTCCGCTGCACAACCTCGAGAAGCTGTTGCTCTGAACTACCGTGAGGAGCAAGTTTCATCAGCCGATCAAACTGGAGAATGTGAGTTTGGCCCTTAGACAAAAGAACATGGATGCGACGGTCCAGCGGAAGTGTCTCCAGGAAGCTGCGTGACAGGCCAGCGCTTCCCGTTCCGTCCTGCGAAACCGCCTCATGTCCACTGCCAGAAAGCCGTCCTGGTGTCAGTGTAAGCACATAGTCTTCTGGGGACAGCGCAGCGGTTGGCGAGCTCTTCAAAGACGATATCATCGTGTTCCTCATTTTCACAGTTTCGTCGCTGCCGGATGCATGCGGCTCAACAACGACCCATGCTTCGGCATCTTCTTGCTGCTTCAGGAATGCATAAGACTGCATTCGTTGCTCCTCGTCATGCTCCGTCGATTTCCGCCTAATCTGGACCTGAAGAGGGACAAGGCCAGAAGGGGCATTAGCACTATCGTCCTCCTCGTTTTCCTCCTCATTCACTTTTTCTACAGCTCGCTTCCTCTCGTCTGCTGCGTCAAGATACTTCATGCCCGGCCTTAACTGAACAACGGCGTTCAACGGAGAGAGGTGGAGTTCGTTTTCGCGCAATAGACCGATCGCATAATTAGCCTGCAGCTGCAGACGGGAAGACGACAAAGTCTGCTGAGTTATCTTCAAGTGGTCGTGCGCCTCTGGATCGTAGTTCTCCGAGTGACTGTCAACAAACAGGTCCACTTCCACCTTCGATTGCTTAGGCTTCATGCGGATCTCCTGGCACCGCTGCTCCAGTTCATATGGCCGCCAAGCCGGCCGAAGAGGGTATTGAAGGAGGTATAGCCGCATGCCATCATTCTCAGGTCGGGGGCAGAGGACGACATCTACTTCACGAACCACACGATCTCCCATCGCCAACCTAGATCCTGGCAATTTTTCCAACTGCGTGGCTGCTGCACGCAAGTTGTCTACTTCCATTGCCAACGCTTGCTTGCCCTCCCCATTTCTGCCATCCACCTCCATCTGCAGAAAGACACTTGGTTCAACTTGACCTTCCACAGGCCTTCAGGGCCTGTATCCCATTCCAAAGGCTGTATCTGTCAAACCTCCAGGGCCTACTTATATCTGATCCACACACACTTTGTCACGTAAGTTCGACAAAATCACGAAGCATGACCATCGTAATACTATCAGCTTCCCAACAGATGTGTTGCCAAGGTGGTGGGAAATGTGTGAACAGTTAGAGCATCAAGCTCTCTGTTGGTCTTCGAAGCCGGGGAAGCCGGAGCCAGGCTATCAGGTAATTCATCGAAAAACCGAACAAGAGTTCGCATCTGCTTTTTCTGGTACTTCTGCAACGCCGTATTACTTATGCCAAACTTTACAGTCAGCAGAGCAGTAAGACATGCTTGTCCACAAGCCGGTGCGCTCACAACAAATAAAGGCTGCTTACCAGGACAGGTGACACAGGAATTTTTGCCTCTAAAAGTGTGCCCACATTGTGTGTTGAAGTAACGTTCGCCACTTGCTCTTTCCCAGCAGGCTGTGTGAAAACACACTATCACTGTCAGCTGGAGAGCTACTGAGAAACGGAGAAACAGCACAAGAAACTAGCTACAACATCTGTCCTCACAAGAAGACGCTCCTATCATTGACTTCTTCAGCCCGCATAAAGACCTCCGCAAACGTCGGGAATGTGATTCATGTCTACACTCACCACAGCTTATACTTTATGTGCACATTAGCTCTGGTGATTTGAAGAAAAGGAAGCTCACTTGGGAAGATCAAGTATCCATTCTGGTTATCAAAATAGTACCTTGGCACTTCTCACTCTTTCTTCCACAGCTTGTTTCAACCACCTTGTTTAATCATCCAGGGCTGATTCCCTTTAGCCGCCATCCTGAAGTGGAGAGCCATGAAAGGTATCGCTCGCCCCCCCCCCCCCCTTTTTAACCTGCAATCCATTCACCCACATGCACCACAAGAAGAAGGTTGAAATGAGAACTCAGCACCTCTTCTCCTAATGGGCAAGCCTTTATTGTTGTATCCACTGTCCACCCAGATTCGAACTCACAGCCTATGCATCACTACTTCTCTGTGTCTCTCATCCATTACGCACATATCAATGTGAAGCCGAGCTCCCTGCTGTGAGAGGGACAAAAAAAGGAGTCCAAAAAAGTTGGCATGGCACCGCAGCCTCACTTGGGTTAGCTATCAGGCCGGCCAATCTGCCCTGCTGCTTGGCCTTGCTCCTTGCCTGTCTGCTTGCCTCCCTTGCCCCGCTATTAAGAGTGCCCACTTCCTTGCCTGGTAGATGAGTGCTTGGTTGCCGTGCTGCCTGCCTTGCTTCCCAACTGCCTGCTCGCTCAACTCTGCACCGCTATTGCACGTCTCTTTTATTGATTGCATTCGTAGAGCCCGCCCGCCCGCCCGCCCGCCCGCCCGCCCGCCCACTGCCCGCCTGCATGCCCCATGGCTGCTTCGCATAGTGCCCCTGTTTGTCATAGTAAAATACAGCTTGGAAACAAACTTGTGCATAGTAACCGACACTCTTAAATTCTTAATGTTCAATGGTTCAAGCTCCCAATGAGTCAGTGAAAATTCCGCAGAACCATCTGTCCACTTCGTGCGCATTGTCTGTTGGCGAAATCCCACGTCCTCCTCAGTTTCCACGTTGAGCACCAGTACAGGTGCCAGACATTATTGCAGTCACTCCCCGACTCTTGATGCTGGTGTCACCCTACAGTCAGTAGAATTCTACTTCCGCTGTGAGCAAATGACCGTCTAATATCGTCCGTGCCCTGCCCTGCTGCTCGGTTCCCTGTTCACTTCCCTTGCTTTGCCTTGCTGCCCTCGAGTTTCGCAAAGATTACATGCAACACATAGCCGCACGTGCACACACATAGGCACAGTACAAACAGGCACACACACACACACACACACACACACACACACACACACACACACACACACACACACACACACACAGACTGTGTGTGTGTGTGTGTGTGTGTGTGTGTGTGTGTGTGTGTGTGTGTGTGTGTGTGTGTGTGTGAGAGAGAGAGAGAGAGAGAGAGAGAGAGAGAGAGAGAGAGAGCCGAACACAGGACTGAGAAGGTGAAATAAGTAGTGCAGGAAGTTTGGCACAATGCGGAAAACACAAAACAGTCCCAAGAATGACTGACAGCGAAAGCGAGCTGGGCACGGTCAGCTAGCTGCAGGCAGACAGAGAGACACAGCACTACTGCAGCACAACGTCATTTGATGGCCGAAAGTCGCTCACCGACATCCATTAGTAAGAAGAGAATTCGGACAAAAAAAACAAAAAAAAGTTAAAAAACAGAAAATGAGCAGCAGTCTTCATCAGTATTACAGAGAAGGGAGCTGTGACAAAGGATGGAGAACCAAGGAGCGTAGATCAGTTGGTACACCCATGAAACTGATCAACAACTTCAACTACAGACTCGTCATCACCGTTTGAGAAAAAAGAAAAAAGAAAAAAGAAGAAAAAAAAACAAAAGGTAGGAGAACCCTCGAGTCGTAAGACATACTAACAAGAAAAAAGGACCTCGTGTATCTGGCAACGACATCTGAGATACAACTGCAGTTATTTTCTAAGAAAAAAACTACAGACAGGAGGGGAGGGAAATGGAAACAGGGGGTGGTGACCACATGTAAGGGAAGTGCAGATGGGTTGATGTGAAGGGGTTGCCTTACACGCAACAAGAAACTTAAACCACCAGTACTTGGGCACTGCGCGCCGCGCCAGCCACCCAAATCTCAAAGCAGCACGGGCTGTCGATTCGATTTATCGACGGCCCGCCGGCCGCGGAAATCACGTAGCGTTAACACTAAGGCGTCGCCCAAGTACTGGTGGTTTAAGCTTACAGCACACAGCATACACACCAAGTTGAGAAGGTCAGGCCGGCCCAGGGCAAGAAGGGGATGGGAACATAGTTACAAGGTCGAAGTAGAAAAAGGGACAACGTATAAAATGTATAAAACGTATATAACATATAAAATCATATTAATAATTAAAATGTATTGCAATCAGACTCGATCTCAAACACACTTTTCATACATGTAAACAGCAACGCAGCAGACTGGCGACATGCGCCCACTCAAAACTCGGAGATATGGATTTCAGATACGAGTTCACTCTCAATTGGCTATGGCGACTTCAGCGCCCAAACATCTCACAGTTCACATACACTGGATCACCCTGGATATGCCACACGCATCACTCTAACACTCGAACACACACACACACTCACTACTAACTACAGCTATGGAAGCTATCGCTGCATCTAACCTATCGCTATACTAACTCCCTCTCTCTTGCCCACTGCGTCCTCCGGGCTCATCTGCAGACCTCCTTGCACAAGTCGCTGTGGCAGCGCTTCCGCATGGCTCACGCAGGAATGAATGAATGGCTGGGCGCTGCCTCTTGATTTATACTTCAGAAACTCGTTGGTCT